ACCAGCGTTCTTACCACCGATCAGTGAATGATATTTATTTTTCTGTGATTTAACCAATTGAGTGTAAACACTAAAAGGCGTGTAAACTTAAATATAGTGAGTAAACACGAAAAAGATCACATACACAAGAATGGACATTCGTCAATTTTTCGTTAAAAGACCTAGGTTAGAAAATCGGGAGGTAAGTAAAAATTGTCATATCGAATACTACAAGTTGGAATATCAAGTGAATCATCATGTTTTGGATTTCCTCAAACTTACGGTTATAAAAATATATTACATTTCATTTAGGACATTTAGCGACAAAACACGTTCATTGATGCATTGAATCATTGTTGAGAGTCTTTTTACCCCACGGTTCATCGGTATTTGCAAATTGCTGCGACGCTTCCAGTCTCTGTTGCTCCGAGCGAACGAATTTTCAATGGGTTCAGGGTATAATGGTTTTGTTAAAAGTATGTAACAGGCAGAAAGAGGCGTGGCAGACCCCACAAAGTATATATATTCTTGATCAGGGCGACGAGATGAGTCGATTTGGCCCTGTCCGTCTGTCTGTCCGTCCGTATGTATGAACGCGTCGATCTCAGAAGATATAAGAGTTAGAGACTTGAAATTTTTTTTCCTAGGTCCGTGTGTATCACGCGCATATCAAGTTTTTCTTTTTATATCGATAACTACTCCCGATATTTTATTATCGATTAAAAACCTTATCGAAAGCTAGTTATTTAATTCTATCTCCTACACCTTTAGAGCTAGAGCTTGCAAATTTTAAATGTAGACTTATATGTATTTTATATAATTTCGATTTTTGTTGTAATTTACCCCCACCCCTACATCCACCCCCTCACCCTCACCTTTGTAAAAGGCGTATTTCAAATACTAGAGACTTGTGCTTTGGCAATTACATGCACATTCATGTTATAATCAGAATCTGAAAGTTTCATGAAGATCGTACGTCCATAAAAAAAGTTATTAAACAATTAAGCTCTCATAGTTAGCGCACACTGCAGCCCATGCGTGTTTATGCGTGGGTGCTTGTGTGTGTATGTGTTTGTGTATGTGTGTGTATGTGTATGTATTTATGTTTTTTTTTTTTTTTTATATTCATTTATTGACAAAATAACAAATTGCAAGTTGCGTGGTGGCTAGGATAGCGCGCGGTGCTTGCGGGACGGCCGTAAAGCATTGCTTCGCAAGCACTATGCGCTACCTTAGCCTGGGACAGCTCGTCTTCTCAGTCGCTCGACTCTGCGGAGCTCCATCATCACCGTGGCCGCGAAGGTGCTTGTTAGTTCCCAAGCTTCCTCCGATTCCAGCATGGCGTTGACTAAGTTGTCCGCTCTGATGGAGCGGCCCACTGCCTCTTCCAGACGACGCCTCTCCTCCAGGAACCGTCCACATTCGAAAAGAATGTGGTTGGCGTCTTCCACATGCTCTCGCTCGCACCAGGGGCGCTCGTCAGATTCCTCGTGGCCAAAGCGCTTCAAATAGCTCCGAAAGCATCCATGACCCGAGAGGATCTGCGTAAGGTAGAAGTTAACCTCGCCATGTTTGCGTTCAACCCATGGTTCAAGCTCCGGGATGAGCTTGTGCGTCCACCGCCCTTTAGCTGAGCTATTCCACCTTCTTTGCCATCGTGCGATGCTGTTCGCCCTGACAGCGTTGAGTCGCGTAGGCCCGTGCGAATTCCGCTCCACGGCTTCGGCGACCAAATACTCCAGTGGCACCATACCGGCTATGACGAGCGCCGCGACATCGGAGATAGTCCTGAAGGCGCAGCTGACTCTGATTGCGCTCAGCCTGTAGATCGCGCAAATGCCTCGGCTGTAGCTCGGCGTTGCCATCGCTCTTGCCCATATTGGCGCAGCATAGAGGATGACAGACCTAATGACGCTCATTAGGAGGAGACGTCGTTGCTGTTTAGGTCCCCGCGTGTTAAGCATGATTCTCGAGAGAGCTCTACAAGAATAAGCTGCCTTTTTATGCACATATTCTAAGTGCTCGCGGAAAGTTAATCTTGTGTCTATCATGACACCAAGATATCTTATCGCCCTCTTTGACGCAATGGTGACGCTGCCGATCTTTATATTGGCAGTTTCCACTCTTTTGCGACTGCTGACTAGTACAACTTCGGTCTTGTGTGCCGCTAGTTCGAGCCCAGCTCCTGTCCTGACCGTAATCGAGGCACTTGAAACAGCGTTTAGGCTGCTCCACGGCTCGGATACGGCAAACTACCCATCCTATTCTAATTTTTGACAGCTCGAGCAAAGTTTTAGCTTTCCCAATTGGAAGAGCAACCGTAGCTCTTTGCTGTCCACCAAAAGCTGGCCGAAGCGATTTGATAGCCTCAATGGGGAGTGAGCTATCCTTCAACTCCACCCTAATTGCCTCCAAGATCTCCTCTTTGGTCGCTAAATCATCTAGATCGCGAATCTCAACTTGAGCCGATTCGGTAAGTGTTTTAACTACCGCTCGGTCTCCCAAGGCCTTGCCTACAGCTTCGTGCAGAGCCTCAGCGCTATGCTCCGGCTTCCTACTCAGTTTCAATAAAAGGTCCCCCTTAGCTGTCTTCCTAATGCCTTGAACGTCGCTGCTCAGATGCTTCAAATTTGGGTCGCTTTTAACTACACGAAGCATGTCCGCATAGCTGCAACCCCCTACGCCTGAAATCGCAATCGCGTCAGTCCTGGGACGTTTTTGCATAGGCTTTCGCCCTTTGACGACTGTCCAGCTGCTCTGGTTTGTCTATCGAGCGGCCTGGTTTGAAGTTTCAGCTGTAGCCCGTAGAGCCATTGGTTCTTTTGGGTTCGCTATTGGGCCTCGGCTTTTTTGAGGGAGTTTTCCTCTGTTCGGAGGTAACTTCCCTCGACCGCTTGGGAGTATTGCTACCTACTGTAGCACTAATGCTCGCTGCCTTAACGTTTTCGCCTACTTTTTTGAGTGGCGTGGTCTGCACCTCACAGTTTTTAACCGAACGGTTGCAGAACGCTTCGGCCGTCTTGTGAAGGCTGACCAGCCTAGCCAGCTCCTCTCTCATTAAGGCATTTATATGCCGCTGACCCCCAAATAAGGCAGACAAACCCTCTAGTGTAGCTCCTATTTGAGCTAACGCTTCTTTTAGTGACTTGGGTGCCTGGCACTCAGCCACTGGAGCCTGGTTTGAAGTCGACGGCTGCGCCAACGCCCTCTGTTGTTGCTGCGGCGATCGCTGCAACGAGGAACGACGCGCAAAAGCTTGCAGCTCGTCCTCCATCATGGCATCCATTTCTGCTCCGACTACCACGGCGTGAAGCCTGTAGTGGGCAATGGCTACTAATATAATCTGAGTTTAATCTGAGTTTACGCAGTAACTTAAACTCAACTTGACTACAGCGAGAGCCGGAAAGTATGCACTACTTTTAATAACTGCTACTTCACTCCAGCAGCTAGGTTGCTGTCTTTGCTAAGGCTTAGCAACTCACCAACGTTAGTGAGCAGCTGATTGCCCGATGCAATTTCCAGCACTACTAACAGCTGTTAGAGTGAATGCACCTGATTTTTATTATTGCGCAAATGTGACGCCTAAAGTAACAAAATTTACGCGCCCACAAAAGACAAGGAAAGGAAGAAGCCCTGACGCCAAAACAATGACGCTATCGCCCCCCTCTCTTGCACCACCGAATTATACCGCTTGGGAATTCCACGAACCGCCGCGCAGTAAGTCTCTGGTAGTTTTTTTTTGAGGTCGCTGGGTACGCCGCGCCCACAGCAAACACATTGACTTCAGTTCTTTCCACTTTCACAGGGGAAAACACAGTTCAAGCTATTGTCTACGATGGATCACGATGACATCGACCGCACTCCGTGAAAACGCAACTCGAACTGATGTGTATGTATGTGTTTGTGTATGTGTGTGTGTATGTGTTTGTGTGTGTGTGTGTATGTGTTTATGTATGTGTATGTATGTGTTTGTGTATGTGTGTGTGTATGTGAGAGTGTGTATGCGTTTGTGTCTTTATGCGCGTGTGTGTATGTATGCCTGTGTGTGTGTGTGCGTGTTTCTTGTGTAAGCTGAAAGACGCGAAAAATTATTGAAATATCTATTGCTCCAACGGTTCAAGGAATCTCGTAGTCGAGCAGTCTCGACTAGAGTCTTCTTACTTGTTATACCCTGAACCCATTGAAAATGGGAAATCAGGGTATAATGGTTTTGTTAAAAGTATGTAACAGGCAGAAGGAGGCGTGGCAGACCCCACAAAGTATATATATTCTTGATCAGGGCGACGAGCTAAGTCGATTTGGCCCTGTCCGTCTGTCTGTCCGTCCGTCCGTATGTATGAACGCGTCGATTTCAGAAGATATAAGAGCTAGAGACTTGAAATTTTTTTTCCTAGGTCCGTGTATATCACGCGCATATCAATTCTTTATATACCGATAACTACTCCCGATATTTTATTATCGATCAAAAACCTTATCGAAAGCTAGTTATATTATTATATCTCCTACACCTTTAAAGCTAGAGCTTGCAAATTTTAAATGTAGACTTTTATGTATTTTATATAATTTCGATTTTTGTTGTAGTTTACCCCCCACCCCTATATCCACCCCCTCACCCTCACCTTTGTAAAAGGCGTATTTCAAGTACTAGAGACATGTGCTTTGGAATGTACATACATTTTCACCATATAATTACGCCCTGAAACTTTCATTAAGATTGTACATATAGAAATTAAATTATTCAACAAATAAATTCTTACATTGTTACCTACACTGCAGCGCAGCCCAAGCGCAGTTAGCAGAGCGCATTCTAATACGTGTGTGTGTATGTATGTTTGTCGAAAAGAAGTGCAGACTGATTAGAATATCAGATTAGAGGGTTCAGGGTATCTCCTAGTCGAGCAGTCTCGACTAGAGTCTTCTGACTTGTTTTACTATTATTATTCTATTTGTTTAATTTTATTTATTTATTTCTTAAAGCTATTAACAAAAACGAGAGTCAATTTTAATTTAAAAAAGCCTATACAAAGTACACGATATAATTTCAATAGTAACACCAACCCGATGGGGGTATTTTATTTGCCAGTCCGGCCGGTTATGCCCTTGTCTCACAGCCAAACATGGTCAGTGATACTATTGAAGCTATGAAAAGAAAGTGTTAGTAAGAAAGCTTAAAAAACAAAATATTAAAATGTAGGTTATAAACAATATCTAGCATAATTAAAATAATTCTTAAAATAATAATAAAAAATAAAATAATAATAATAATAATAATAATAATAAAAAAAAAATAAATAAATAAATAAATAAAATGAAAGGAGCTAAAAAAAAAAACAATAATAAAATAAAAAAAAAGAATAAAATAAGAAGAGATAAAGTATAGAAAAAGAAAAAGGACGGTAATAAAAGAAGTTGCAAGAAAAGTTAATAAAAAGAATGAGAAATAATAAAAAGAAAAGAGTAAGGGAAGAGCCAAAAATAGAGTATAAGAATAGAATTGAGAAATCACTAACACAACATTAGCAGCAAAAACGTATGCCAATGCTTATGCCTGGGCATTGTGAGTGATTTCCCTAAGATAAGCTGGTAGTAAACTTTTTATTTTAGGAGGAGAGAGCTCTAGGGAAAAAACGTGATAATATTTATTAAAATTAACACAAAGAACATGAAACGCACTGTGCAAAGAATAATCCCTAGTGCACACAGGTAAATGAAGCGGACGATAGTGTCTAGTTGCTCGGGACGGAACCAAAAAATTTAGACGACCCAACAAAGAGGACGAATCAATATCACCACTAATCAATTTATGCAGAAAAACAATTCCTAAAATTGTTCTGCGATTGGTTAGCGATGGAAGATCAATTAACTGGAGCCTACTATGATAAGACGGTAATCGTAAATTACTGTCCCATCTAAGGTCTCTTAAGGCAAAGAGAAGAAACTGTTTTTGGACCGATTCGATACGATCCTGATACAGTTTATGTTGCGGAGACCATACGACAGAGCAATACTCTAGGATAGGACGCACAAGCGAAGTAAATAAGCGCTTGGTAATAAAAGGATCTTTAAATTCCTTAGACCAACGTTTAATAAAGCCAAGCACACTTTTGGCTTCATTAATGATGGTAGAAATATGAAGATTAAAGTTAAGTTTACAGTCAAAGAACACACCAAGATCTTTGACTGTAAAGATGCGTTCTAAGGAAATATTGCTAATTTTATAATCAACAATTAGAGGAACGGTACGACTGAAGGTCATTGTCATACACTTTGAGCAATTTAGGTCAAGCTGGTTTGCCGCACACCAAAGTTGAAATGCATTTAGGTCATCTTGAAGGTGAAGATGTCCATTTGCCCTGGAGTATGGAAGGCAAAGTTTTACATCATCAGCATACATAAATATAGTGGAATACGAGATACAACTAGGAAGGTCATTTATAAAAAGGGAAAAGAGCAATGGGCCCAAATGGCTACCCTGAGGTACACCAGACGAAACAAAGATAAGTTTAGACATAGCTGTTCTCAGCAAGACTCTTTGGGTTCTACCCGTTAAATAGGATGAAATCCAAGAGACAAGACTGGGTGAAAATCCTAAACGTTCAAGCTTAAGAATTAGTATGTGATGATGAGCTGAGTCAAATGCTTTACTGAAGTCCGTATAAATAACATCGGTTTGCATTTTTTTTGGAAAAGCTGTCATTAACAAGCGAAGTGAACTCAAGTAAATTAGAGGACGTGGATCGATTTTGAACAAAACCATGTTGAGATGGTTGTATAATCGATTTGCAAAAGTGCTGCAAGGCCGATGTTATGATTTTCTCAAATAACTTCGGAATAGCAGATAATTTCGCGATGCCTCTATAATTGGAAATATCAGATCTTCCACCTTTTTTATATAAGGGAATGATGAAAGATTCTTTCCAAATTGAAGGGAACACAGAAGTATCCAAGGACAAGTTAAACAATTTTAGTAATTGTGACTGAAGAGAGACACTGCACTCTTTAATCACACAACTAGGAATATTATCAGCACCAGGAGAGAAAGATGATTTCAATGTCCTAATGGCTGCACCCAGAGAGGATGCAGTAACTTTGGGAGTATTTATAGATCCATATTCAGGAAGAGAATATGGATATGAGTTGCTGTAGAGATCAGCAGAAGAATAAGTGGATTGAAAAAAATCAGCAAATAGATCAGAGGAATCCTGATCATTGCATGTTTTTACACCTCCAAGGACAAATGAGGACGGCAAACCAGAGGATTTACGCTTCGAGTTTACAAATGAGAAAAATTGTTTGGGATCTCGAGTAAACTGACGTTTGCAACGTGTAAGATAATTCTCATAACAGCTAGAATTTAAAATATTGAAGTTTGACTTGGCAATGGAATATTTGGACCAGTCAATACTTGAACCAGACTTTTTGTAATTTTTAAAACATTTAGTTTTAATGTTTCTCAAGTTCGAAAGAGTTTTGGTGAACCAAGGTGGCTTATTTGAAACTGGCGAAATACGGCGGAGAGGGACACAAACATCCAGAATAGAGTTTAAGGTAGAATAAAAAAACGATGCCGCTAAATTAATATCAACCGACTCATATAGAATAGACCAGTCTGTTGAATTAATTAGTTCGTTAAGCAAAACGAAATTGCATTTACGATAACAGTGACTAAGTTTAGAAGGCATTGGAATAGTAGAGGGAGGATTATCGATAGTTAATAAAACCTCTAAAGTGGGGTGATATATATCCTCAGGTAAGGAGAAAGGAGTTGATCTCGCGACATTAATGAGCGAATCATGATTAACAAACACAAGATCAAGAGTACGATTAAGATGGTTTGAAATAGAGTTCATCTGAAACATAGACAGGTTAAACAATTCATCAAAAAAATAGTGATCAATTGTCGGAATAAAGTAATTTGCATTACAAGTTGAAGACCAAGAAGTGTTCGGAATATTAAAATCACCCAACACAAGAAGACAATCACTATCATTTACATGTTCATTAACTTGTTTAATACAATTTATGTGGTGAGCATAAACTTGTACATCAGAAGAGGGAGGGATATAAGAACATGTGATGTACAATGAGCACGATGGGAGAGTTAATTTAACCGCTATAATCTCCACATCATGAAGGGTCGAAAAGGTAAACAATTCAGAGTGGATAATGGACTTAACCGCAATTAACACCCCACCACCTCTACGCGACGAACGGTCGAGTCTATAAATAGTGAAATTACTTGAAAGAATTTCACTATTATGAATATTACTACTTAGCCATGTTTCAGTGAAAGCGATAATATCATATTGTACACTGAAACTATGCAAGAAAAGACTTTTAAGTTTTGAGTTTAAGCCACGTACATTTTGATAAATCAGGGACAGCTGAGAAGAGGTTTGTAAGTAATTTAGTTTTTTGGTACAACGTTTGATGAAGATTGCACCGAAAGTAAATTTACTGAAATAGGCATCGATCTGTTACGATTTTTGGGTTTAAATTCATGAACAACTACATGAGGTGGCCAGAAATTAGGGTCACAAAGGGTTTTAAAGTATTCTACAGGCACATTGATTTTGAACGAAGCAATTTCACGCGGTGTCGCAAAACTAAACTTCGATATAAAAACATTAGCCGGAATCTTATTTGAGATAAAAGCCGATACTGCCTCAATGGTAGTGTCAGATGAAAGCCTAGATAAGAAAACTTGCTTTCTAGGAGAGACAACAGATAAGGTAATGCTAGGAGAGGCTGACTTATTGTCACTCTTTGTTTGAGCAACAATAGAAGTAGCATCCAAATTTGGGACAGGGGCTTGAGATTCAATAGAAGCCTCAATAGGAGAAACAGATATGGGACAAGGTGAAGGAGGATCTAGAGAATTGGGAGCCGATGACAAAACAGAAGCGCAAGGTGAGGGAGGAGCAAGCGAATTAGTTATTTTTATTATTATTATTATTTTTTATTATTAAACCCTTTGTAGGATTATTTTTATTTGATTACTATATTTTTTAATTTTTAAACTTTTTGCAGGATTTCTTTTAATTATTTTTTTTTTTTTTTTTTGGTATTCTTTTTATAATTTGTAAATTTTTCAAAATTTTTCGTTTAGTTACGGCACTGACCAAAGAACACATAGATGAGACTTGTAGAACAAACTTTTTCACCACCGAAAAAATGTGCATGAGGGACTACTCACCTTCGTAGTTGCTCGGCTCCGTCTCTTATGGCTCGAGCAGTGAAAATACAACACTACAAAGTCATTTCGTTGCGAGCGCTCATACGAACTGGTCCCATTCTTATATGAAGCAAGGCTATGCGCTATTTGTCCTACTCTCTCTCTCACTCTATCTCTCTCTTTGGTCTCTCAAATCACCGAACTCAGCAGCGCACAAAAATTGAATTTTGTTCGCGATGATCCCAGCTCCTTCCCTTTGAAGTGAAGGGTATACCTAATCATAAAAGCGTTTGTCACGCCCATGCAAACAAAACTTAAGCGTTTGTATGGTTATTCGTGAGAAGGGTATGAAAGCGTTGATACTCATGGAAATGCTTTCGCGACGAGTGTGCACACAGACACATGAAACATGAGCATTAGTGGCCTGTGTGCGTAACTCTTGCTGCTTGTAGTAATTTTAAAGCCCAGCATTTGCATTTGGTCGATTTTGGGATATCACTTGTAGAAGCATTTGTATGCCTCTGTCCTTTACATGTGCGTATGTGTACATATGTCTTTGTGTGTATGCATGGGATCTGTGTGCATGCAATCTAAAATTGTGTGAACGATTTAGAGTTCGAAATACGAATTGCAGAATCGCATTTACATACATAGCAATATTTAATTAGCTAACTAAACTAATACTTTTGATATTTGTTTTTTTACTTGCATGATTTTTATGTCATCTTGACCTCTATATGTATGAACATATGCTTATTTTAAAAATTGCATATGAACATATGTATGTATATGCTTTGGAATATTTCGGGTTGCAGACTATAAATATATACTTCAAATGGGACATGAAATACACATGTCATATTAAGTCATAAAGGCCCATTCGACAGTCACTTTACAATGCAAACCATACATAATTTACAAACTATTAAATCGCGAGACAATTATCTTCCCATTCCATACATACATACCCATATGCAAATGTATATACATATACATATGTATATACATGTATGTATGTATGTTTGTGAGCACAAAATCGACCAAATGCAAATGCTGGGCTTTAAAATTACTACAAGCAGCAAGAGTTACGCACACAGGCCACGAATGCTCATGTTTCCAGAGACTGCAAGTGTGTGTGTCTGTGTGCACACTCGTCGCGAAAGCATTTCCATGAGTATCAACGCTTTCATACTCTTCTCACGAATAACCATACAAACGCTTACGTTTTGTTTGCATGAGCGTGACAAACGCTTTTATGATTAGGTATACCCTTCACTTCAAAGGGAAAGATCTGGGATCATCGCGAACAAAATTCAATTTTTGTGCGCTGCTGAGTTCGATGATTTGAGAGACCAAAGAGAGAGATAGAGTGAGAGAGAGAGTAGGACAAATAGCGCATAGCCTTGCTTCATATAAGAATGGGACCAGTTCGTTTGAGCGCTCGCAACGAACTGACTTTGTAGTGTTGTATTTTCACTGCTCGAGCCGTAAGAGACGGAGCCGAGCAACTACGAAGGTGAGTAGTCCCTCATGCACATTTTTTCGGTGGTGAAAAAGTTTGTTCTACATGTCTCATCTATGTGTTCTTTGGTCAGTGGTTACGGTTTGAGCTCGGTGCAAAAGTGAACTAAATTATTTCAATGTCGAAAAACTTACTTACTATTCAATTCGATGCCTACTATGTTATCGATATAATTTTCTACATTAAATCTGCTGTTCATTGTTTCCAAGCTGCTGCTATTTACCGTTTCCAGTGGATATAAGAAAATATTAATAATCGTCTCGTAGAATTGCTTCCTGTGGAGATATATATATTAGTAATGCTCTCACATGGTCGTAAAACCTTCTTTGAATAGTTGACGGGAATATTATTTCTTTTATATTATTTCATTGAATTACTAATTGTATTGATTTACGTGTTTGTATTACCACGTGTGTTATTGCGTTGTCTGTTATAGAATTACTGAATTACCAATTACTAGTTGTATTATCTTTTGTTACCGAACTTGGGAAGCCCTCAGGATCCTTTTTGGTGTAAGACCTACTTAGGTGAGGGTGGTTCCACAATCATCTCGTCTCTCTCTTACTTTCGTTTCATTTATTTATTTATTTTACTTTTTTCTTTTATATATTGTTGCCAGACTTATTCTCTTCCGAAAGGGAAGCCCAAAGTATTCCTCTTTGGTTCTAAGACCTACTAGGGTAAGGGTTATTTTTGCATATTTATGCTTTGCTTGTTGATTAGAGATTTCCAGACAACCGTCTTTTAATTTTGTTATATAGTTAGTGCTTTAAACTTAACGTTGACCACTATATTTCTTTTAATTTATACGGAAACCCATCATTCAACACAGGTGGAAATGGTGGGGTTTATTTTTTATGACATTTGTCTTACGGCAAGGATTTGAACCTCGATACGAGAATCAATCTCGTACCACCATTATGCCTGCAAATTTCTTGTATTTTCGTTTTAAGACTCGTCTCGGCACGGATTTGAGCCTAGGTATTGCCAATACCACCATTTAGCCACGATTTCTTTTATGTTATAGAATTATCTAGTGCACCAACACTTGCTAGAAATTATGTTATTATTTATTGTATTATGTTATGGCAAGGATTTTCACCCCATTACTTTGCAAATCGCAGAAGTACTTCGTAATTTTGCCAACAATTGCCCAATTGGATTGGAACAATTTATTTGTACTTGCTTTTTTAATAAGTTATTTTTATAGAATTATTGACCCGTCACCATTTCCCTTTATTTCCGTGAAGAATGTGGGTCCCTGCTCGGGCGCCAGTTAAGCGCTCCCATACTAGAGTACTAGTGATTGGAGGACGCTGTGTTGGGTTCTTGTGAATATATAACAACTTTGTGTTCAATGAAATAATATATTTTATACAATTTGGAACAATAGGTCTAAACTCTCTCTAGTCCGAATATAAACTGAACTAAAACTGTTCAACTGGTTAGGTTCTCCCCTTGAATGTCTGACTGGACTCTCCAGCCTCCTTAGATTGTCGAAAGTCTTAACTTATATATGATCTACTCAATAATACCTTTCATTTGATGTATAATACGTATGTAAATATGTACTTGTATAGGTACATATACATATGTATTTAATTATATGCTTGGGCGCTTGTCCAGGGCACTTGCGCTGTGCACTTACCCGTACCTATTCAGCAGGTAATGTGAGGGGGAGACAGATACAAATATAACATAATCACTGTATATATGTACATACATATGTTTATTTGTATATAGATGTATTATTGTCACTTTTACCTGCACCCATAGATATAACACTTAGTATAGGTTTACTATTTATTTATTTTATAGAATCTGCACTTAGGTTAGACCTTAAATCGGTCAGCATAAGCTTAAGAGCAGAAAATGTCCTTTCTACCGAAACCTGCGTGGCAGGCACCGAGTGAACTATCTTGGCAAGACGGTACAATCGTGGATAAGTAAACTTTTTGTCCTCCCAATAGTACATAATGTCCACGTTTATGTCTATTGGCCTCTCGATTCTGGCCAATTTGAGCTCCGGTTCGTCTTCTTCCTCAGACTCTATATAGTCAGACGCAACCTCAATGGAGTTCAAATAGGCGTTCAAAAATGAGCATGGTCTTTGCGATGTCATTTCAAGCCATCGTCCTATCTATTAGGCTCACCTTTTTATTTAAGGCAAGTATTTGGCGCATCAATGCTACCAAATGATTTTTGGTTGCCGGCAGCTGAAGTGGATTCTTCAGAAGAATCCGCCGAATTCTGGGATTCGAATAAATTAAAGAGAGAATGACTTTATTTGTTGTGAGTATTTCCTCACGCTTCTCCATTAAAAGTGACTTGTGCAAATATTTAAAAATAGACAGCCTATCGTCTACAGCACATCACCACCGGACATTAGGTACCGTTGAAAGAAGTCCTAGAACATTCAATGAGTACATTCGTTCATATATATCAATAGATAAAACTGACTGGGACGTATGGTTACAGTATTTCGTGTATTGTTTTAACACAACACCATCAGTAACTCATAATTATTGTCCATATGAACTTGTATTTGGAAGGCAAAGTAACCTTCCAATAAATTTTAATACCATAGAGGTAATTGAACCATTATATAATATAGATGATTATGCTAAAGAAGTTAAGTATAGACTAGAATATGCGCATAAGAGAGCTAAATATTGTAAGAACAAGTAAGAAAGCTCTAGTCGAGACTACTCGACTACGAGATCCCCTGAACCCTTGGAATAATAGCTATTTCAATAATTTTTCGCGTCTTTCAGCTTACACAAGAAACACGCACACACACACACACACACGCACGCACGCACACACAGGCATACATACACACACATACATACACACATACACACACACACACACACACACACATACACAAACAATTACATACATATACACACACAAGCATAAACACGCATGGGCGGCAGTGAGCGCTTACTATGAGAACTTAATTGCTTAATAACTTTTTTGTGGACGTACGATCTTCATGAAACTTTCAGATTATGATTATGACATGGATATGCATGTAATTGCCAAAGCACAAGTCTCTAGTATTTGAAATACGCTTTTTACAAAAGTGAGGGTGAGGGGGTAAATTTTAACAAAAACCGAAATTGTATAAATTGCATATAAGCATACATTAAAAATTTGGAGACTCTAGCAATAAAGGTGTAGAAGATATAATTTTATAACTGGTTTTCGATAAGGTTTTTTATCGATAAAAAAAGATCGGGATGAGTTATCGATTTTTAATGATAAACTTGATATGCGCGCTGTAATTACGAACATTTAAAAAAAAATTTGAAGTCTCTAGCTCTTATATCTTCTGAAATCGACGCGTTCATACATACGGACAGACGGACAGACGGACAGACGGACGGACGGACAGACGGACAGACGGACAGACAGACGGACAGGGCCAAATCAACTCAGCTCGTCGCCCTGATCAAGAATATATATACTTTGTGGGGTCTGCCACGCCTCCTTCTGCCTGTTACATACATTTCAACAAAACCATTATACCCTGATTTCCCATTAAAAATGGGTTCAGGGTATAAAAACATAAGATAAAACAAAAAGAGATAAATGATAAGAAATTATTAGACTCTAAATTAAAAGTAGGAGACCGGGTTTATCGAAAAAACGAAACAGGTCATAAACTGGAACCTTCTTATATAGGACCTTTTGAGGTCACTAGTATTGAAAACAATAGTAATATAGTTATAAAAACCCAAATAATAAGAATAAAACACAGAAAGTTCATAGGGATAGACTAAAAAATTTTTTTTAATAATTAATGTTTTTCTTTTAATGTCGTTTAAGCCAATTACTGGTAAATCAAAAAAACATTTTTTTAAAAATTAATTAACCAAAATTAAAACAATATATATATATATAAATATATAGATATACTAATGTATAAAAAAATGAAAATAAAACCTTTGTTTTCTCTTGCTAAATTTTAAATTACACAAAAATATATAAATCAAAATATGATAATAATAATAAAACAACATTTTTGTTTCACCTAAATATAATAAAATGAACAAAATAAAATAAAAAACAAGTAAGAAGACTCTAGTCGAGACTGCTCGACTAGGAGATACCCTGAACCCTCTAATCTGATATTCCAATCAGTCTGCACTTCTTTTCGACACACATACATACACACACACGTATTAGAATGCGCTCTGCTAACTGCGCTTGGGCTGCGCTGTGGTGTAGTAACATTATAAGAATTTATTTGTTGAATAATTTAATTCCTAGATGTACAATCTTAATGAAAGTTTCAGGGCGTAATTATATGGTGAAAATGTATGTACATTCCAAAGCACATGTCTCTAGTACTTAAAATACGCCTTTTACAAAGGTGAGGGTGAGGGGGTGGATATAGGGGTGGGGGGTAAATTACAACAAAAATCGAAATTATATAAAATATATATAAGTCTACATTTTAAATTTGCAAGCTCTAGCTCTAAAGGTGTAGGAGATATAATTAAATAACTAGCTTTCGATAAGGTTTTTGATCGATACTAAAATATCGGGAGTAGTTATTGATATATAAAGAAAAACTTGATATGCGCGTGATATACACGGACCTGGGAAAAAAAAAATTTAAAGTCTCTAGCTCCTATATCTTCTGAAATCGACGCGTTCATACATACGGACGGACGGACGGACAGACAGACGGACAGGGCCAAATCGACTTACCTCGTCGCCCTGATCAAGAATATATATACTTTGTGGGGTCTGCCACGCCTCCTTCTGTCTGTTACTTTTAACAAAATCGTTATATGATTTCCCATTTTCAATGGGTTCAGGGTATAACAAGAAAGAAAGCTCTAGTCGAGACTATTCGACTACGAGATCCCCTGAACCCTTGGAGTAATAGCTATTTCAATAATTTTTCGCGTCTTTCTGCTTACACAAGAAACACACACACACGCACGCACACATAGGCATACATACACACACACACACTCACATACACAAATAATTACATACATATACACACACAAGCATAAAACGCATGGGCGGCAGTGAGCGCTTACTATGAGAACTTAATTGCTTAATAACTTTTTTTGTGGACGTACGATCTTCATGAAGCTTTCAGATTATGATTATAACATGAATATGCATGTAATTGCCAAAGCACAGCAGTCTCTAGTATTTGAAATACGCTTTTTACAAAAGTGTGGGTGAGGGGGTGAATTTAAGGGTGGGGGTAAATTTCATCAAAAACCGAAATTGTATAAATTGCATATAAGCATACATTAAAAATTTGGAGACTCTAGCAATAAAGGTGTAGAAGATATAATTTTATAACTGGTTTTCGATAAGGTTTTTTATCGATAAAAAAAGATCGGGATGAGTTATCGATTTTTAATGATAAACTTGATATGCGCGCTGTAATTACGGACATTTTAAAAAATATTTGAAGTCTCTAGCTCTTATATCTTCTGAAATCGACGCGTTCATACATACGGACAGACGGACGGACGGACAGACGGACAGACGGACAGGGCCAAATCAACTCAGCTCGTCGCCCTGATCAAGAATATATATACTTTGTGGGGTCTGCCACGCCTCCTTCTGCCTGTTACATACATTTCAACAAAACCATTATATCCTGATTTCCCATTTTCAATGGGTTCAGGGTATAACAAGTAAGAAGACTCTAGTCGAGACTGCTCGACTAGGAGATACCCTGAACGCTCTAATCTGATATTCTAATCAGTCTGCACTTCTTTTCGACACACATACATACACACGCACGTATTAGAACGCGCTCTGCTAACTGCGCAGTAAGCAGCGACTGCGCTTAGGCTGCGCTGTAGTGTGGGCAACATTATAAGAATTTATTTGTTGAATAATTTGATTTCTACACGTATAATCTTAATGAAACTTTTAGAGCGTAATCATATGGAAACAAGTAAGACGGCTCTAGTCGAGACTTCTCGACTAGGAGATACCCTGAACCCTCCAAGCTGATATTCTAATCATTCTGCACTTCTTCTATGCACACATACATACACATGCATCCAGACGCACGTATAACAACGCGCTCTGCTGACAGCGCAGTAAGCAGTGACTGCGCTTGGGCTGCGCTGCAATGTGGGCAATATTATACGAATTTATTTGTTAAATTATTTAATTTCTAGACGCACAATCTTAATGAAACTTTCAGGGCGTAATCATATGGTGAAAATGTGTGTACATTCTAAAGCACACGTCTCTAGTACTTGAAATATGCCTTTTACAAAGGTGAGGGTGAGGGGGTGGATATAGGGGTGGGGGGTAAATTACAACAAAAATCGAA